AAGCTAGCCCTTGGCTCTCTGCTTATAGCCAGGTAGACAATTCATTTAGCTCTCGCCACACATCCGAATTATTTACAGTCCATCCATCAAAAATTGAACACAACAGAAGGAACAAAGGCGCCGAACTGGCAAAAATAAGCCAACATATGGCCAAATATTCAACAAACTGCAGCCAGATGAGGGTTGGCAAATGCATCTCTTAAATGATGTTGGCAAAATGTGAAATGGTAAACGAAACTGGATGATTGAAATGTGAACTGATCTTTGAGCATAGATTAGCATTTAAGCAGTTGACAAGCAATAGATGTAGGTTCAATAGAAGAAATGGTTAATTCTCAAAAAAGTGATGCTTTATAGACAAAAAAAATGAGTAATACGGGATATAAGTTCCACAGAATAATACAGATTATTGCATACATTTTGTGTTGCGGGCATTGCGATACGAATTTTGGTATAAAGAGAAATTGTTCTTCTATTGAAATACAACAAATGTTAGTTATACTTAATGAGAACTTAATGCACTAAGCGACCATATTAATTATATCCCTAGTATTTTTAGGCAACGTATTCTTCTGAACTTCCTATTGGAGGGGAGATCCAATTAAATCAGCAAGACTTCGCATTTATAATAAAAATATTATCAACATCGAACAACTTTACAGCTCCATAGCAAGGATCGCTCGAAAAGTAGATTTCTATAAGGCAAAATATTCTGTTTTCAAAGATATTTTTAGGAAACTCAGGGTATAAAACCTTCGGTGTGCCGAATATATCCTTACATTCATGTTTCTGGCTATATTTTACCTTATTAACGAGCATGTTAAAGTTTAGATTGATCAGCGATTGATCAGTCAAAAAAAATAGACCCAAAACCCTGAATCAGCAAAAGCACGCCCTTCCGGCTTGTAGATTTTTACATCAAATGCCCAGTATCGACTTTCTCTTATATCTCTTTATATCACATTTCACAACCATTTACAATGGAAACAGTCTATAAAAACTGCAGTAAATCAACAAATATATTCCAATTTAACCATTTGGATTTTATTCAAACGGCGAATGCAATTTATGACAGCTGTCAGATGAGGCAGTGGCTTAATTTTTGGCAAATGTTGCCGTCTTTTAGCATAGAAATCAAGCCGAGCTAAGGCATTCAACTGTGAAACAATAAAAATAGCTTGTATTGTGCGCAAGAGTTGACAAAATTCACACGCACTCGCAAATGCCATAAAAACTGTATGAAATTGGGCTGGGCAATCCAGGTTAGGGGAAGGTTACGTCCAAAGAAAAGACAAAGGCGACATCGAGTCGCTGCCAAACAATAGACAGACAGCATTTGTCATAGATATCGCAGTGTTTTGTGGGGTGACAACCCTGGCGGCTATTGCATCTTTCACACGGCTGGCAAAAAAAGAAATGTTATGTAATTAATACAAACGTATTGCGGCAAAGAATGCAAAGATTTCAGTTTAGTTCGCATTCGATTGTCTCACATTACATTTATTTACACGGAAATGTGTCGCATGTTTGCCAACTGTCTGACAGGATGTGCGAGAGCTCTGGCTCGATGAAATCGATGTTGAAACTCAATTAAAAGGAAAAAAAATATATACGCGCGCTTTTGTGCGGCAACTCTGGCGAAAAGAAAATATTTGTTCCAATCCGGTCGAGTTCCAATTAGAAACTGGCTGACAGTTAGACAGTCAGACAAGGACCCCGAAACAGGACTCCGGCTGCGTTGTGGCATACGCTGCAACTCAAACTAAGTGGAAGAATCGAAAGACAGCGCAAAATCAAATTGCCCTACGTCGCCAGACACCAATAACAAATTTGAGAGCTACGGAGTGTGTGTGCCTGTGTGTATACCCTGTGGGACCCGTTTAGGCTTACAGCGCAGCAAAGGTAGTATGTCATGAAAATGTGCCTGCCTTTTTCATGCATTCAGCATATATAGCTTGGCAGTAGTTAAGGAAGAGAAGCTGTATGCAGGGTATGTCAAATACAACTTCTAATCAGCAAAAAATAAAGACTCATGGAAATATGCCTGCTTTTTTCATGCATGCAGCATACGTGTTGCTGGCATTGCTTTAAAGTAGCAGAAACTGTCTGCAGAATAGGCTAGACACAACTGTGGAGTAGCAAAAAAAATATCCATGAGAAACTTCCTGCTATTTTCATGCTTGCAGCATACTTCTTCTAGCATACAACTTCTAGGCAGCAAAGAAAAGAAAGGATCATGAAAATGTGCCTGTCTTTTTCAGGCATGCAGCATACGTGTTTTTGTCAGCGGGTTAAATAAAATTTCGAACTAAAGAAAAACAAACTTATAAAAATCATAGAAAATGCTTATGCGTGCGTAGTTTAGCTCTATCAAAGCACATTTTTCAGCTGCCATGGCTATGCGTTCTGCACGTCATTATTATTCCTACTGGGTCTTCTAGGCATCGGGTCCAGTTTTGGTGCCTCATCTTGTTGCCTGTGTAAACAACAGTTGCCATGCCGCTAAATCAGGCGTGTACAATTTCAGCATGCTGCATTTTATGCCACACATTTTGTTAATGCCTGCCCCTTCGGTGCTTCCTCAACTTCCACATCATCTCTTAGCTGGCCCCGATCTCGGGGTCCGTTTCGGGGCTGTCGCCCTCGTCGTTGCGACGCCGCATGAGTTTTTGGAAAGAAATTTCAAATGTTTGGCAGCAGCAGCAGCAGTAGCAGCAGATGTTTTTTTCATTTTCATTTATACGAAAATCGGCTTTTATCTTTAACCATTTCGTGCACTCAAAGGCTGGCGCTGATGCGATCTCTTGCGGCCCTTTATACGAGCATCTTGCCTGCTCGAACAGGCGAGTTGTTGTTGTTCACCAAATTATGATAATGATAATACATATTGTGTGCCGTCGATCGAAATTGTTTGTCTGCGAGATCCTTTTGTGCAGTCCGCAGTCCTTTTCACACCAAGGCTCGAACCTGAACTTGTCTAATGAGCCCGGCGATGCCCGGCCATGCTGATGCCAAGCCTTCGATAAGGGACTTGGGCTAGAGCGATTCGGGGCGCGTCTGATTTGTCATACAAATTATAGACCAACTCTTGGGAATAGCATGGAAAACTTTGCTGGAGAAGGCGTTGCCCCAAATGCAGGTTCCAGTTGCAAATGCACTCAAAATATATTTTATGCGGGGGCTGCAACGAATCAAGCTGAATCCGAATGCGTTTGACAGTTGAAGTTGAAGAAATGGAACATTTGCGGGGCAACATTTAAAACATTTACACGCCACAATTAGGCTAAACAAATTCAGAGTGAATGTAGCTGAAAAATGGAAAGGGAAATGTAACGCATTGCAGTTCCGGTTGAGAGCGGAAGGAAACGCGTGCCGTACGCGTGTGAGACGAACCGAATCAATGGGAAGAAGCCAATGCGATGTGTGTGTGTGTGTGTGTGTGTGTGTGTGTGATATGGCAGAGCGTGAAAGCAGCTGATAGAGCATGGCCACATATCATATGAAAGGACCCAGCTGCAATGAAATTTGAGTGGAGTTGGCAAAAAAAAAAAAAAAAAAAACTAAATACCAAACAGCTGTGTCCTGCATGGAGCTGGCCAATTTGCATGCAAAAATGCAGCTGAGCTAATTAAATTTGCTTTTCCTGGCAGCATTTTTTTTTTTTTTTGCTGGTATTTTCACTGGCATTTGTCAGCTGCAATTTGGCGACTTTTTGTTGACACTTCCGCTTCCTGATGCAATTTAGCTGTAACCCAATGCTGTCAACGTCCCTACAAACATCCTTGCTAGCCATGGGTGTTCCCTCTCCCTCTCCTTCTCCCTCTCTCTCTCTCTCTCTCTCTCACGCTCTCTCTAGCTTTGTCAAATAATTGGCATTGCCTTTTAGCTATGGTCATGTCAACGTGGCCCACCCGCCTGGACAACATCCTTTGCCTCCTGGCGGCATATTGAAATTTGTTCAAGGTAAACTCAATTTGAACGGACTGCCGCTTGTTTGTGACAAAAGGCGTCGGCGTCTGTTTACTTAAATGAGCAAATACTGTACACTAAAGTAGCATGACAAATTCCACACACAGAGAGCGAAAGAGACAGACACCTGAAAGTCAGCCAAATGTATCTCAGATGCAGTCGCAACTTAAGCTGAGCTCTTCTTGCAAAATCTTCAGCTTGAAAGCAACAGCTGCTGGAATACAATTCCAGATTAACATATGGAATTTGATGTGCTTGGTACGTGCCTTGTGTGCTGAGCCCTAAAAGAATGCTGCTTAAATAAAATTTATTCAGCAATATTTACTGATAACTAACTATTCAAGTACAAAAGTATCTCATATTCGAGCGTGTGTTAGCTTTTGTTTAAGAAAGTATATTATTTAAAAACTTATTATGTATATGAAAACCTTAAATGAAAATCTTCTATTTCTTCTTTCTTTTCGCTGCAAAATCTATAATCTTTATTCAAACAGATCTGCAAATCAAACAAAATTTGATTAATATTATGATTCCAACTTCAAGACAACTTCCTGCCTTGAAATCCAGCTTAAGATCTTGGCTTTTCTCAACCATGAACCCAGCCTTAAGTTCAAACATTTATTCAACATTCATTTTCAATAAATTGTTGAAATATTTAAATTTTCAGCTTTTAATAGCCTTTCATTTATTTTTAGATAAATGTTTAGAACTCAAGGTTGAATCTTTCTAAAAGGTTATTTATTTAAAGGTTCGAGTCTTAGTTAAGTTTCTTTATTTGTGTTTTGGCTTAAAGTTTGCTTCATATTAGAAATTAAAGACTTTGTTCAATTAAGTTCTTGACTTTACTTTTTTACAAACCTCGTAAGTCTATACTTTTAAATGCTATCAAATTATTATTTATAAGCTACAATTTTCTAAAGCCCTGTTGTGTACCTTGAAATGCTATTGACTAAGAATTCTTTAAGTGTTCAATCAATTCTCATTGGCAAATGTTTATACAAAACACTTTAAGTAAACTAAATCATAGATATTTGTTTCAGTTTGTTTTTTTCATTTGAATTTTCCATGCCATTATTTCAGCAAAATTTCAATTTTCACCAAAAATTCTGTTCTGGCTGTTTGGAAGAACACAGCAAACGCTTTGTGATATTCTTGGTATCAGCTTATTCTAGCGGCTAATTAATCAGTCAGCAGCATGTGCAAAGTATCTTGGTAATTATAGATTGAAACAATTTTCCCTGCCTCAACTAAGCATTTAATTACACATATTAATTGCACTGACCTTGCACACTCGCACACACACACACACACACACACACAAGTTGATGGCTAAATAAAAAACAAGTTCATTGTGGTTTGCCCTTAGCTATCAATAGGGCCTAATCTAATATGGAATATGTAACCCACACTAATACGCATTTCTCGAGAACAATAACAAAAACAACGAGAAATTAAATTCCCAATCTTATTAATGGCATTTACAGCGCACGCTGCGCACAGTTTGCGCCAAGTTCAGCTCCAAAAAATCATATCGAGCTTGAGTTTTTTATGACTCAAAGCCGACAAACAGATACAGATACAAATACAGATACAGATACATCTAGAGACGTGGTACAAGCCGCTAGCCCGGCACAAGCTAATGAAAAATCAATTTGATGCTAATGCAATGCAGGCGGGGGCGCTGCCGGGTTATGAGGCGGTTGCGGGGTTGGGGGACCTAAGCGTTGTTTGAATAGTTTTTTTCTTCTTCTTTTTTTCCTCGAGACGATCCAACAGATACGACAACTGTGCAAGATCAAAAGGCATCAGAGGAAAAAAGTATTCAACATTTTTTTTAGCAGCATCATAAAAATGTACATAGATTTTGTTGTTGTTGTTGCTATTATTTTAGGTTTGCCCAAATAGCTCGAGTGGCCCTTTTATATATACATACACACACACTCACGTGCTGTGTTGTGCCTCACAGCAATAAACAAACAAATGGCAACAAAATAAACAAATTGAAGCAGTCACAATTACCCGCGCTAACTCTTTGACGTGCTGGCCAAGATGGCAAGATAAACACAAAGCCTGATAGATACATATTTTGTATAGATAAAGATAGAAATATTCTTACGTTTTATCACAAGCCGTTGACCAAGGGACGGCAAATGGGCGTTGGGCTTGAGGCTGACTAGAAATAGAAGCTGAGCAAACATTGAAAACAAGTCAGTCGGAACAAGGCGGGCTTGCTCAACTAAGAGATACCCAAACCAAATGTTAAAATAGAACAAAATAATATAGATTATCGCTTTGTTATCGCCCACGCGACACAAAATCATTTTTCACTATCGCAAAAGTATCTCCCTGGCGATACTAATACCTATTTTACAAGTTAGGTTTTTATCAAGACTTTCTTCAATTGTTAATACAAATCAAATATAGAATATGCCATTATCTAACCACTTTCTAGTCAATCATGCTCACTTAAACAACTTGAAGGTTTACAGGGTATGCACAAATTAACGCTGACTGCCAACGAGTTATTTGTGTAGCTGCACTTAAGTACGAGAAGTATGCGTATCTCACGGATGCGTTCGAGTATCTTTTTTTTTTTTTTTTTTTGTTTGATTTGGCTATATGCAATGCTAATGACAGCTACTGCTACTCGTCTTTGATATTCAACTGGCTAATCAAGCAGCTAATAATACGATTTGTGCCAATTACAAAAACAGGCGGCGATTGTTGATTGTTGCCTTTGTTGACGATTTACATAAATTTGCATGTCAATTTGAATTTCTGACTGCACGAATGAAGTTCAGCTGACAAACACGGCACGGAAATGCAAATTCCACAACGTTTGCGTTTGCTAAGTTACTTTTTTTTTTTTTTTTTTTTTGCTTTTTTTGGATACTAGCGGAAACATTTTGACCGGAAATCGTAGAACATTTGATAACAAGTTTGTGAAATACAAAGCAAAAAACAAAAAAAAAAAACCAACTCGATAAAGTTGCCTCAAATTTCCGCTATCAAAACGAAATGTTTGTGGTCTGGCTCGTAATATGATAAGTAAAAATGCCAGCTCATGTGGCAGCCGCATCATGAGATAGACAGGTACAACTTATCCAACTCCAAGTGTTGCATGCAACGTGACCACAACAAAACAAAAAACACAAAAAATACAAAAAATGCCATGAGACAGCAACTTAAGTACCACATGCAACAGACCTGGACTTAGTGTTGAGGAGTCCACCAAACGAAACGGCCAACCAAGCGGCCAACTAACCATCCATCAACTTGGCCATGGCCGAAACGTGTTGAGCGCTGGCCGCAGCGAAAAATTGAAAAGCATCTAATTGGTAATTATGAGCTGAGCGCGTGCTTGTCAAAAAAAAAAAAAAAAAAGAAACACAAAAAGAAAACAGAACACAACATGCAGACAACATACACGAAAAAAAAAAAATATACAAAAAATTAAATGAGAAATAAAATATATGAATAAAATTGCTCGACCACAAGATACCACAATCTCCCCTGCTAAACCTAGTATTTAAATATATTTTAACTTTCTGTTTACTAATTAGCTGCCATTATCAAAAAACTTTTATGTACGGCCCCAACTAGCCACATACCAAATTTTGGTACCCCAGGTATTATGGATCCTGAGTTCAACTAGACTCCTAGTCAGAAATATTCGATATACAATATATGACTCAGTACATCATCATACCAAACTGAAGTACCCCAGCTCTTAAAGATCCTGAGTTCAACTAGTCTGCTATTCTATATGCAATACATAAGTACACCTACATACCAAATTTTGGTACCCCAGGTATTATAGTTCCTGAGATTAACTAGACTCCCAGCTGCAGTTATTTTATATCCTTAAAGGCTCAATCAAGCCATAATCAGGAATATGTACACTATTCTACATGCAGTATATCTTATAAGCTAACACAAGTCGATGCTACCTTTTGCTGTTCCTTCACGCTTACAGGGTGTAGAAAGGGTCGCTCCTAAAGGGTTCGGGTCAGTCCTCATCATTGCGTCTGGCGACTCGGCCTCAAGTCGCGGCTAATTTGCGCAAGTGTATTGTATCTTATGATTAAGCAGCATTTTGTCTGCAGGGGCTATTGCCAAAAAAAAAAAAACAAGGAATGAGGCATAAAACTTGAAATTATATGGCAGACATATGCGTGTCTGTACAGATTGGTAATTGTCTAAAATGTGCAGACGCCGTGACTTTGATATTGACTGAAGTTCGCTTTTGCTTTTGCTTCTTGAAGTTGGAGTGGCGCTCATCTGCCGGAGTGCTCCGATACAAGAGTTATTAGCCTAATAGCCATTAAGCTAATAAGGCTCAATTTCAGTCGAGATGCGTCTTAAATCAACAATTCAAAGCCCTGGCTTTGTTTGTGTACTCTTGACGGCCCCCACTTTAGGAGGAGACTCGAAACTAACTAAAATAATGGCAAATATTTTTGCTGTCCGCTTTTCTAAAGTGCCACTCGAATTGCAACAGAAAGCGATGCAAATCCACAACAAGTTGAGCCCAAGATTGAAGAGTACCATCAGGATAACAGATACAAATCCTTGTTTTTTCTTCTACGTTGCATTTTAATTAAATGCCTCAAAGGCAGCTCACAATACGCACAAGATACAATTGCAAGTAAACTGGAGGACAGCAAAAAAAAAAAAAAAAAGTAAAATAAAATAAAATATAAATAATTTCTATTATAAAGAGCAGATTTCATTGGAACTTCTGCAGTAGAATAACAATATTTCACCCTCGCCAAAAAAAAAGATAGAAAAGATTTAATGCGGCATTCAACACACAAATGTGTTGTGTGTGTATGTATCTGTATCTTGCAGATAGATTTTTGTTGCACACTGGGATTTTGTGGTGTTTATTTGGAGAGCCGGGCTCGTCCCTTCCTGGCCACAGTTCTTGTTTGGCTTCATTTTTATGTTTTCTTCTTTTCGTTCAAAATGAGTTTCCATGGGTGAAGGTAAACAGCAGAGCGGCAGGGGCAGCGGCAGGGATGTGGCATATGCGGGCCCAAACAGGGGCGCTCTAACACACTTAAGGAAAATGTTTACATGCGTCGAATATACGCTTGCTGTTCTTTTAGTAAAAGTGTGAAAAGATGAGCACAGGAGCGACTGCAACTGACTTAAGAACGGGCGCATTTACCATCACAAAGGCGCCCAAAGTTACAAATGCGCTCCTGTTAGACAGCCCTTCAGAGAGCGACGTAAACAACAAACGTGGCGGTGAGCATTGAAAACAGAGAGAGCGGCAGAGAGAGAGAGAGAGAGAGAGAGAGAGAAAGAGAGATAGCAAACGCACGAATTGAAGTCCAAAAACTCGTCGAGCATCTTTACACCAAGAGTGAGGGTGAAGGCGAGGGTGTTTCTTGCTAGTGTTGGTGCGTGAGCGCGATGCGCTGGCGTTGTTCTTGTTGCAGTTCGGACTGCAGCAGCAGCAGCAGCAGCAGCAGTGACGTCGTCAATGAGATGCAGCGCACGAAGTTCGAGTTGTTGGTGGTTGTTTTTGTCAGAGAACTATTAACGACGTCGGCGTCGTCACGAACAACGCGAGAGAGAGAGAGAGAGAGAGAGAGAGAAATGGAGAGCGAGCAATTAAAGTTGAAAAACCAGAAGCCGTAGTAAACACAACAAACGCATCAACAATACAAATCAGTTTTTGGCGGTACGCGCACCGAGACGGTTCATTTACGCAGCGGTAAAAGCAAAAACGTTCACTGCAAGAAATAAGCTGACTGCTGCGAAACTCGTGTGCGTAAAATTTGGCGCGTCAAGCGAAAGTCGAGCTAACTAAGTTGAAAAAATCTCTATAACAAGTTATTTGTGGAAAATAAAAAATAAGAAAATGTATTAAGCTGTGGGCTAAAAAGCACAGTTAGGGACTGTTAGGGACATTTAGGCAAATAATAGTGATTAACAGCGAAAGAAGTGATTTGGTGTTTGTTGAGTGATGGCAGCCACGCCTACAATTGTGTTTGAAAACGGCACCATGCTGGGCGCCATGAGCGAGCAGAGGAAACTACAGCCGCCTCTAATGTCCAACACATCGAACACATTTGTCATACCGGAAATTGTGATTAGCGGCAGCCACAGCAGCAACAGCCTCCATCGCAGTCGCCCTGACATTGATGCAGCCCATCCGAATGCCAATGAGGAAATGGCAGCCGAATGCACTGCGCTGCTGGAGCAGCAGCATCAACACCAGCAGCAGCTGCAGGGCGCCGAGGAGGACACCGAATTTGAGCAGTTCATATTGAATCGCACCACATCCGAGAGCAACATGCTCGAGTCGAGCATTTACAGTGAGCTGCAGTTTACGTCCACCACCGCCGGCATGGCTGCCAACGCACCACCGTCCACGACGCTCAATACGAGCGCCTGCTCCCGTTCTGAGTCGCGGCAGAGCAAGCGCACGCGCCGCAAATCCCACAGCAAGAGCAACAAGAGCAAATGCAGCAACAATGCGGCAGTTGCAGCTACTGGCGCTGGCGCCGCAGTTGCAGCAAACGGTGCGCCACCTGTTGGCAGCTATCCGCCGCAATATACGGCCATATTTCTGGATCATCATCTCAATCATCATCATCATGCCGCAGCAGCGGCCGCCAATGCCATGGCCAATGCGGCGGCCACATCGCCGTTCCTCAACGCGAATCCGGAGAGCGCCGCCAACTATTTGCAATATCATCAGTACTATCAGCAGCGGCCCATGGGCATGGCTCATCCGCATCTGCGCAGGTAACTTTTTACAACAACAAAAAAATATATATATAAACGTGCCATAAAAAGTGACATAAAAACCGACGCTAAAATGACAGCGGTAGCCAAAGGGCAGACGCACAAATCGTTCAGGAAGTGGCCATTTAAAATGGCTACTGTCTGGCGCTGGTCAACAGGCACAGTAGCTACTCGACGGACGGTCGGCTACAGTCGCTGTCGCGTCTCAGTGAAACCGAAAGTTTGACAGACGCATTTAAAATTATAATTGGCATACTGCCGCGGGGCTCTGCTGCTGCTCCTCCTCCTTTTGCACCAGAAATAAAAAACTTTATCATTCAACAAAAATCATGTCACGCACAAGAAGCGAAGCAGCAGCAGCAGCAGCAGCAGCAGCCACATCCAAATGCTCGGCCATGCCCCCTATTCAAGAAGAACTGGAGCAGAGATTTGGCTGAGACATACTACAAGGGCAGCCACACACTCGCACACACACTCTAGACTCTCCGCTTTATGCCTTATTGGGCAGATTAACTGACATTGATATGCGCACGAGAGGAATTCCATAAAGCTAAAGATACGACCAGACGCTTGTACTTGCCTCTTGTCGAGGGGGCACAACTGCTGCTGTTTAACATGTCACATGTAAGGCCTCGGCGATTATCACAAAAGCTGTATGTGCTTATACCCTGTAGCCAGGGGGCCAGCAATGGGGTATATTGTTTGTGCGTGCTTATTGAGCTTCGCGATGTATGAAAATAGTTACTGCAAAGCCAAAATGTCTGATAACTAAGTAAACTCCGATCGGTTACTAATTATCAATGTTAGCTCTCAATCGATAAACTATTCATTTCCGTTTTAGTCGACATAGTTTATCGACAAACGGAAAAAATAATTTATAGATAGTTATCGATTACTAATTAGCATTCTTTTAAATATCGATATGATACACTCGATAGTATTTTATATTTTTAACTGCAATCAGTAATCAACAATCGACTTTCTTAATTATATTGTGTTATATTTGGGGAATACTCGATAATCGATCATTAATGTTATCGCTCAGTAACTTTATTTACTATCGTTTATCGACAATCGATAATTAACTACCATCGACTAATCATATTATCGACTACCTAAATAGGAATACTCGCAGTGAAAGCATCGACGTTAAAGAACTTTTAATTCATTAAATTTAATTTAAATGAACAAAAGTTAACCCTTTGTTTTCACCACAATTCTCACAATTATTAGAGCATATGTGGGGTATCTCAGTGGCCTACTACAGCCACGCTGAACTCATCAATTCGTGGAATTTGGTGCTAGAAGCATTAAAATTAATAGTGGCGCATAAATTTTGTCAGCCCAACAGAACATGGGACATGTCCAAAAAGTGCCTTTGATTAATTATCATAGTTATATCTCCCCACATGTATTTTTAGGCAAGTTTTAGCTAAAAATAATACCAAAGAAAAGATCTGTATATATATAAAAAAAAATATTAATTAAAATAAATGACGTGATTAATGAAGTAGAGCAACAAAAACAACAGAAGCACATCAAGCACAACTTTGTTAAAGTTTGTAAGTTTCACAATTAGCTGCGCCCAAGCCCACAACAAAAACAAACTGTGATGGACACCTGCATTAGGCCACTTTGATGGGTCAAGGAAAACGTATCGAATCCAATTAAAACACTTAGGAAATAAATATATATATATAGACAAAGAGAAATAAAACTTACACGAGACAGTAGAGAAAGAAAGAAAAAAGCTGATAGACAGCAAATTAGAAGCACTAACGAGATGCCAAGGCGACTGATAAGGCCAGCTATGGAAATATTATGGCATATTCCGAAGAGACCCCAAAGATCATAAAAACAGAAAAATTATGACGCGTACACAGGGCACAATTCAAATATTTGCTGTCACAAATGCATTTGATAGCGTTCAAAATAATAACAAATGGACGTAAACGACTGGCAGATACCTTAGAAGTTTTTTGGCGATTTTGAATCTCTTACGAATAGGAAAAATATAAAAATATATATGTTAATATGTGAGAAGTGAAAGTGAACGACTGGCAGATACCTTAGAAAGAGTTTTAAACATGTATAGCTGAGAGACTCTTATGAATAAATATATAAAATTATTGAAGTAAACCTTGAGCATAATTTAAGGAAATTATAAAAATATTACTAAGCCAATCGTTAGGGATTAAATGATTTCTTATGCAGATCGAATTATATAGCTAACAACTAGATAGTACAACATAAACTTTTCTCTATTACAGCTCAACTGGTATGCAACTCTTTTAAATCACTTTAAAGGGCACAGGGTATAAAAATAAATAAAAAATAGTACACTAAATGGCACTCGAGAGTTAATTGAAACAATTGTTTGTTGTTGCTTGTGGCTGTCTGTCTGTCATATCAGAAAATATCAATTTCCAATATGAAACAAACATTGCAACAAGTTCAAATCAAACACAATTCATAGAAAAAGAAGGCCTGGAAAAAAGAGGAGACTTAAAAAATGCCTAAACAAATCAAAAGAGAGTTCAATATAATTTGACAATCTATTTGACAATGTGATGTGCGTGTGTGTGTGTGTGTGCGTGTGTGTGTGTGTGTGTTGTGCACACAAAATCGATACTCTGTAACGCTCGAGTGCACAACGCATAAGCCAGAGAATTGGGCCTAGAGTTCGAGTCGAATTTTAGTGCTGTGCCACGAATACTTCATCAGAGCAGAGTTCGGTTCCTTGAACTCACCTTTCAGTGCGGCATTCTTCACGCTGTCATTTGACACCGCACAGAAAGCGAGATAGAATGAGAGCGGGAGAGGAAGTCTCATCAATAGTCAGTTTGGGTTTCAGTTTTTTTTGTTTTTTTTTTTTTTTGTGTGTGTGGTTGTTCTCCTGTTGGGGCACTTAACTAGCTGGCTCAACCGCAGGCAAGTCCTCTTATAATCTTGTGTCCTCGCATGTCCTGAATGAGAAAACTTGCCTCATTCACACAGCGAGCGAGTATCATATAACTGCGTCTTTAATCTGTGCCACGCACACACAAGCACACGCAGTACTCATCAGCCCATAAAATGCTCATTACTCTTCGGTCGGCTTATATATATATTTTTAGAAACTTGAAGATGTTTTTCAAAACTCGCCCCTTTTTGAATGGCCTTTGGCGTTTATTGATAATAAATGCTGTTACCTTCGAGCGTTTTGTCAGCAACCCCAAATCCAATCTACGCCGGACCCAGTCCAAAAGCCGTGCACACTTTAGAGCCAAATTGAATTTGGCTTGGCATATTTTATCAGACAGATGCAGACATGAGGGCCAGCAAAAAGTTGACTTTCAAATTTGAAAAAAATATGCGAAAGAAGAAGTTTCTTTGCACTGACGAAGTTTCCATACCCTTTCAAGACATAGTTTATGGGATTAGTCGATCTCGGATATGTGTATTTGAATCGTATAAGGAAAAGGTTTTTTGAGGCTGACGAAGCTTAGTAGTTCGAATTGTATATGTGTCTGCGGATCGTATTTGTATATTCGGAACAATAAACATTTTAAGCTCTTTATAGCTGAGTTTTTTTTAGAAAAGTTTACTTGATACCGATCAAGAATATATAATATATACACTCATCAAAAATATATATGTACTAAACATCGAAGAGATATTTTCAATGTGTTGCATATTCAATGCAAATATGTTGATACCCTACGCAAGTGTTTTAAAAGGATCATGGGCCAGTCACCTTCAGACCTTGGCTTCGAGGCTATTACAAATAATATTTCTCAAGTGTTTAGCCTTGAGGGTTGCTAAACAAATTTTCTACACACTGGCGAGACCTTTGCACACCCTTAAGCCAGAAACAGCACAACCAACACATTCACAGCTCAACAGTTTGGGCTTTTTAACAAATAAAAAAAAAAAGATATTTAATGATATGTTTTATATTTATATATAGCTGAAAGTCCATTAGTTGTAGTACAGTTAGGTCTAAAGCTGAGCTTAAGTGCAGCCAAATGTGGGCAGAAGGGAGAAGCGAACACAAAGACGCGCTGTATAAGAAGACCCTGTTTAATGATAGGCTGGGCAGCTTAGGCGGCATCAGGCTCATCATCATTTTTCTTCGTCTTGGACACGTGAGGGGTCCCCCTTCCCCCTGCTCAGAAAAGAAAACAGTAGCCTCCACACAAGTTGGACCCGTGCTAGGCACAACGAACCGAGCCGTAGGCCCAGTTAAGCCGTAAACAATAGCTGAGTGCGGGGCGATTTATGGCCTAAGCCGCTTAACTTTAGGTTACTTGCAGCTGCCAGAAGCTAGATCTAAGCTCTAAATTTATGCCTAATAATTCTAATTGACTTTTAATCATAGTTTTTAGCCGTCATGTGAAATCGAGTTGACGCCCTTCTCACATGCGCAGGCGGCGGCCAATTTCAAACAAGAATTTCGGCACTTTTTAATTTTTTTTTTTTTTTTTTTAATTGTGTTTCAAGTACATTTACATATTACGTGCACGCGGGGTTACGCTCTTTCTTACTCCGCCGACATTTACGCATTTCCTAATACACTTTATTCTGTTGTGGGCTTTTTTTTCCCCTCTCTGTTTTATTTTGGCACCCAATTACGGCAGCTATTGTCTTTTCTTGGCGGCTTTTACACTAATGGCATTCTTAATTATGCCCTTCTCCGCCTGCGAAGCAGCTGTTGAGCTGTTTTGGCTACTTGAGCAAAGTCCGGGCTACGCATGCGCAATGTAAATGTTTAACTGTACGCACAAAACTGGCCAAAATAGAAAATGCTATTAGGGAAGTAATTATGCCTAATGACAGACAACTGTTGCTCGCATAGACCCGAACTAAAAATTGGGTCAGCAAGTGGCTTAATGCGTTTCGTTCATTGCGGCTAATGACGCGGCAAAGAAAGTCCGTGTCTCGAGTCGAGTCGTGTCTCACTTCACTAGATCGCAGACAAAGGGCCAGGTAATTTGCAACGGAAGTCGCTGCCGAGATTG